CTTCTATTCAGGATATGCAAAGCTTGTGCTATTTTGCAATGCTATGTTGCAAAGGTTTCAATGTTCTTTGACAATTGGAGAACTTATTTAGTCCAATAAGTTTCTTGATCTCAGCAAACATTGTTTTTCTCAGCCCAAGTTTGATTTCAGAAGCAGCTTCCTTAGGGAAAGGCTGGCTCCCAGCCCCGGGCATGGTATCCTCCCTGATGAACAGACGTTTGGATCTGCAATTTCAGCAAGCTTTGGAGAAAACACTCCAAGCTAAATGGGTTAAATGTTTCCATCAACGTTCACGGCGCAGGCACATGCAGTTGAAACACAGTTTGAGCTGATTCAGAGGCCGGGTATGTTTCCGAATAAATTCAATTTACTAAGACTGACTCCTAAATGGAGTCTAGTGTCAGTAAGCCCTCTAATGGAAAACTTGCTGTCTTTGTGTTTTCTGCACTGAGTAAGTACCAAACCAGATGGCACTGGCTCTGGGATGCAACCACCAAGTCTCCTTTCCCTGCAGGGACAAATGTGCTGACACTACATAATGCTTACAGGTGTTATTCAATATTACAAACGTTAATAATAGACTTTCATCTACGGGAGTCTCTTGCCCAAAGGCCTCCAAGCTCCTGAACACAAATAAACTCCAAGCATAATTTACATTAAACAGGCAATATGCCTGACTGAATCACACAGAAGGAACAAAGTCTGGGAGAAAACCTGGCATGCTGCGGTCACCCATCTGCAATGCTTAGTGGTAACATGAAGGATGGGAAAGATGCCTTGAGTCCTGTTCCCTCTGTGTATCAGGAAGGAATTGTCCCTTTTGGGTGGACTAGGGCAGCGTTGCTCTTTGCTATGTGGGCAATCCCTTAGAGAAGGTCTTGGGCTGTTACTCAGTCCCTCAAAGACTGGCCCCAAGGATCTGCTGTGATTCCAGCCCCATTAAACGTCTGGAAGGAATCTGCAAAGGAGACATAGAATCATAGAACAGTTAGGGTTGGAAAGGACCTTAAGATCATCAAGTTCCAACCCCCCTGCCATGGGCAGGGACACCACATGTGGGAATGTGACATGGCAATCCCTGAGTCTTGGTCTTTGGATTTCCCTCTGGAAGTGAGAGCTGGATGGCACAATTCAAGCAGAATTGACCCTCCGGCCAGCCCGAGCAGTTTTCTCCCTCTTTGCAGAGATTTCTTTAATTACAGGCGGGTGTTGATGCTGCCCACTGAGAGCAGCAGCTGAGATTTGTTACTGTGGGGTTATGCAGGAACCCTTCTTATTGACAGACCTAACCATGGCTCTTTACTGGTGCCAGACAAGACATCAGGACACAGCGCAAGAAAAACAAGGTCTTAACGATGAGAAAGGCTACTCAGTTAAATCACCTCTTAAAGGAGTATGTTAGGTCTCAGTACTCATACAGGGCTAATGCCCATCTTGGAGAGGATACAAAGAGCAGGATCAGAACTGCTAATGACCCCTGTCTATTCCAGATGGGTGAGTTCGCAAGTAGTTTGCTGGCATAAACCCAGAGGCACATAAAGCATCGAGTCTTCGGTCTTTAGTGGAGGAAATGAATTACAAAGAAGATATTAAAGCAATGTGTCTGCACTCATTTTGCATCAGAAAGATGGAAGGAGTTCATTTCATCCCTCCCTCCCCCCTGTCATCGACTGTCCTAACACCACTGAAATCCCTTTCACATCAGGTCAGGCAGATCCCCTTTCAGCGGCTGCTTCCCGCAGCAGAGCAGGGCTGGCCAGGGAGCATCTGGGAGCTGGGGCAGGCAGCAGGTGCCGAACACTTGTGGAGATCCTGAGTTCCCCACCCTGGGACCAGGCAGTGGGGAGAAGGCTTTCCTTGTGCTGCGGATGGCGATGGAGGGGGCTGCCTTGTGTTCAGTTCTGAGCCCCTCGCTACAAGAGAGACCTTGAGGTGCTGGAGCAGGGCCAGGGAAGGGCAACGGAGCTGGTGCAGGGCCTGGAGCACAAGTGTGATGGGGAACGGCTGAGGGACCTGGGGGGTTCAGTGTGGAGAAGAGAAGGCTCAGGGGGGACCTGATGGCTGCCTACAACTGCCTGAGAGGAGGATGGAGCCAGGAGGGGCTGGGCTCTGCTCCCAAGGAACAAGGGATGGGACAAGAGGAAACGGCCTCAAGCTGCACCAGGGCAGGTTTAGATGGAGCTGAGGAACAATTCCTGCCCCAAAGGGTGCTCAGGCATTGGAACAGGCTGCCCAGGGCAGGGCTGCAGTCACCGTCCCTGCAAGTGTTCACACAGCGTGGAGATGAGGCCTCAGTGCCATGGGTTAGAGGTGGCCTTGGCAGTGCTGGGGAACGGTTGGACTGGATGAGCTTAAAGGTCTTTTCCAACTGAGCTGTTTCTATGATTCTCTGATGCTATAGGCGTGCATGCCTCGGTTACATGCTCATGTGAGTTGGATGTGAGGGGCTCCTGGAGCATCGCGATGGAAGGTAACTGCCAGTGCTGAGCCATTTGGGGCTGCAGGATGATGAGTAACTCTTGGTTGTGTGAGCAAGTATGGGCTAGAGAGGGTGAAAGAGGCAGAGTCTGCCCCTCTGTGCTGTCACCTCGTGTTAGGTCTGGCTGTTGCATGCCAGGGTATGCAGGGCAGGATGTGAAACATGCGGCAGAGGTTGCAGCGGGTGGGAAAGGGGAGGAACAGCTCTGTGCTGAGTGTGGTTGACAAGGGCTGGTGAATACATGAGTGGGCAAAGGGCTCACCATGCATCCAATGCACATTCACTCCAGTGGTTATGAAGATGCGTTTCTGTGCTGTACATCCACCTAAACACACACTCACAAACCTACCTGGCTGTTTAAGCCAGATGTCATATGGACAAAAAGGCTTCTTCCATGTGCCAGGGAACCACTGGCATGGAGCAATATGAGGTGTAAGAGATGGTGGAAGACAGACTAGGGGAGATGGGCCTCACTGCACCTGTGGCAGTGAGAGGAAACCTGCAGGAAAGGATACCCAAAACCCTCATCACAGAAAAGGTTACAGCAAGATGAAGTGCAAGGTGAAGGTGCAGCAGGATGAAGTGGCTGCTGGATAATATGAATCCCAAGTGCATTTTGCCACTGGTGGGAAAGGTTAATGCTTTGAAAAATACAGCAAAACAATCATTTTGGGGGGAGATAAGTGTGTGTTCCCAACATGAAATATTCAGCAGGTTTTTCCAGCGAGTATTAACTAACACTGATCTTTGAGTGCAACAAGTCATGTTTTAATTTTTAATCCAAGTCTCAATCTTTACCAACACTGAGGATTGGAATAAAAAGATGTGATTGAAACTCTAAAGGTGGGTAGGCATTACTAGCTCAGTTGTTACTTCCCGAGACTGGGGTAGACTGAGTCCTAAGCTGGTCTAGAAAGAGCTATGCTTGCTTTGCATGACCTGCTTGTCTAACAGTGGCCATAGGACTTTCCTGATTTCAATCTCAGTAGAGCATACTTGGATGTAAGAATTACGATTAAGAAAGGCAGTAGACCTTTGGTCTTGACTTATGTCCCGTGGGTCATGGGACTGTGGGGCAGCATGTTATTGTCCCATGATCTCTTTCTTGGGTGACGCTGACTTCTTAACTCGTATGTCCTTGGACTTAGCCTTGTTTCCCTTCATTCTCCCCACCTTAAATTAACAATGACTGCAACTATTTGCACTGCTGCAGCTTCAAGTTCTCCTTGGCCTGATTTTTCAGCTTGCCAGCTCTTAAGCCTGTGTGTCTCAGGCAGGGCCAGAGGCAATGAAATCAGGGCAGTGGAGTAGCAATGAGGAGCTCCAATGGGCTCCACTGTATCCGAAACCCAAAACTTCTGGCAGAGATGGAGGAGAATAACAATATTAAATAGCAGAGTCCTACTAAATTGTAACAGTGCAAATGGGGTATAATATTTAAAACCAGCAATGTTGTGCGTGGAGGGAAAAACAAGAATCATTCGTACTTAGGCTCCAATTCAAGTTGTCCTTTAGTGTAATAATTCGATTAGAACAACCCTGGAAAAAATGAGATTTCTCTTTAGTTCCTCTTGTACCAAGGGTATCACTCATACATCCAAACAGCCTCTTCATTACCTGAGAGGAGTATTCCTAATTTCACCCTCATTCTTTGGCTTTCTCTGGGATATATAACAAAGAGAAGAGAATGTGCTTGGCATAATACAAAGCCTAGCAACCAGTATGGCTCATCTTATTAAACACAAGCAAAAGAGGAAACTGAACCATGTCCTGCGCTGCATCAGCAGCAGCGTGACCAGCAGATTGAGGGAGGATATCCTCCCCCTCTACTCTGCTCTCGTGAGACCCCTCCTGCAGTCCTGCAATCAGCTCCTGGGCAACAACTTCAGAGGCAATGAAATCAGGGCAGTGGAGCAGCAAGAGGGACATGGAGCTGATGGAGCGAGTCCAGAGGAGGTCACAGAGATGCTGCGAGGGCTGGAGCAGCTCTGCTCTGGAGCCAGGCTGAGGGAGCTGGGCTGGGTCAGCCTGGAGAAGAGAAGGCTCCTGAAGGGGAGAGCTTAGAGCAGCTCCAGTGCCTAAAGGGGCTGCAGGAAACCTGGAGAGGGGCTTTGGAGAAGGTCCTGTAGGGACAGGCCAAAGGGAATGGCTTTAACCTGCCAGAGGGGAGACTGAGATGAGCTCTTAGGCAGAAGCTCTTCCCTGTGAGGGTGCTGAGGCGCTGGCACAGGGTGCCCAGAGAAGCTGTGGCTGCCCCATCCCTGGCAGTGTTTGGGGACACTCAGATGAACTGCAACAGAGCGTGAGTCAAGAGTTCAGGTTTATCAGTATGGTGACACCAGAACACAAACAGTGCCCATTTCCTGCTCCTATGGTAGAAGGGAGGTTAAAAAAGTTTAGCTGTGTAGATTTGGTATTTTCAGTTCTGACTCTTCAGTTCCAGTCAGAGATGTTGAAGGTTTACTCCTAGAATTGGTAATGTTGATCTGATCTTCCAGCCTACAGTGCTGAGCATACCCTGGAAACTGCCATAAGAGATACCATATAATCAGTATGGCTAAGAAAGGGTCCTTTTGTCGCAGGAATCGTTTTGTGTAAGCTGTGTGCTCTTCTCTGCTTTTCCTTTCCCTTGTGGGTGGTCAGAGCTGGAAGTAAAATGTAAAAAAATCCAAACCATTTCAAATGCAAGGAATTTTCAGCTCACAGTCTGTGCCTCATTGTCACTAACAATTTCCTCTGGAATGGTGAAGAGAGGGTTTGTTTCTGTCTTAGGAAAAGTGCCTTTTCTCTATCTGTTTTTTGGCTTGCAATACTAGGGAGATGTATCCTATTCAACTGGTCAGGAAAACAAATACTTATTACAAAGCTGCTTAGGGAAATATTGCCTTGCTCCCTCTCCCTCCTAATACCAACAGGTTTTCCCCATAATATCAACTTCCTTTTTGATGAAAAAAAACCCAAATTTGTTCTGCTCAAAAGAATATGACATTTTCTAGACTTCAGTGCTAGGACACATTTTGTCTTACAAACAGAGGTTCAGAGAGTTCCTTTAAAATAGAACATTTGGAACAGCAGCACTCTCTTCAAACTTCTGCTTGGCAAATAAGTAAAACCCAAGCGGTTGTTTTCCACTGTTCAGTGGAGTAAGAGCTGCCACCTGCTTCCCAAAGCCAGTACTATCTGTACTCCATAACAATTCCCGAGTGGATGACACAGCGGGAGCAGCTTCCAACCCCACTGCTCCCTGCTGGATGCAAGCAGGGTCCTGACACCGATAGGATCAGAAAATGGTCCCAAGGCTCTATTTGCAACATCCCCGAGTTGTTTAGTGGGGTCCTGTGCACATTATGATGCTACTTCTACCCACCTAGGGAAATCACTCAAGGGATGGTTTTGGATGGAACAGCTTATTTTTGTTTAGGTTCTTAGGACTCTTCATTAGGGACTGTAGTGACAGGACAAGGGGTAACGGGTTAAAACTTAAACGGGAAGTTTAGATTGGATATAAGGAAGAAGTTCTTTACTGTGAGGGTGGTGAGGCACTGGAATGGGTTGCCCAGGGAAGTTGTGAATGCTCCATCCCTGGTGGTGTTCAAGGCCAGGTTGGACAGAGCCTTGGGTGACATGGTTTAGTGTGAGGTGTCCCTGCCCATGGCAGGGGGGTTGGAACTGGATGATCTTAAGGTCCTTTCCAACCCTAACCGTTTTATGATTCTATGATTCTTCATATTCCTAACTCACTCCAGTTATCAAAATAGCACTGATTGAGAGCAGGATGAGAATTATGCTATATCTGATCTGCTTAAATCACACCTTAACATTTTCTCCTTCTGCCCAAGGGGCACATGACAAACGTCAGAGCTGCCAACACTCCCAGTTAGGTAAAAAACCCTTCCCAAAGTCCACTTTCTGTTATGTTGAAAGACTTTGTCTCATCCTCACTACACCGTAAAGAAACAGGACATGGACAGGTTATGAAAACAAAACTTGTTTGGTTTTTATAGACAGTTTCTGATGTCTTGACATGATCTTGGGGGCAGAGGGGACAGCAAGAGGCATGTAAATGAGAAGGAATGTACTGGTTGGGGAATGCTGCAATGCTGTTAACTTGGAGCAGTGGAGTTCAGTTAAATGTGTCCATTTTAACTCCAAGGAACACAGGATGGGAATCTGTGGCAGTTGGAGTCAAGGAAAACTTGTTCCTAAAACAAACAAAACACACTGCATTTGTTTATGTGTTGCTCTCTGAAAACCACAGCGGACAAAGGTTCCCAAATGATGCTCAGCATCAGGACTGCATCAGAACAGAGTCTGGCTCTGCCCTGTGATGGGGCTGTTAATGGCACCCAGTTTCAGACACCCTTCTAGGACAAGCCAGCCCTGTAATTCAAAGAGGCCATATTCCATGCAGAAAATACATGAATACCTCAGCCAGCTCCTGCACAGAAAACTGTCTGGTGCAAGATACAGCTGGGAACCAGACCCCAGCCAAGCTCCAGCAAATCTCATTCTGAGGAGCAATATTTAGGGCTAGAGGCTGATTTCCTTAAGCAGCTCTTCAGCACCATGTCAAGCAGACCTCTCATCAGTTCCCATTCAATGCAGTGTATACAAATACTGGGGATGTGATGCTCGATCTTGCCTTGAGCATCAAGCCCTCAGTCCTGCCCATTTGTTGCACAAAGATAGGCCCTAAAAGAAGCAGCTGCAAAGGAGCTGGAATCTTTCCTCTTTTCAGATGAAAAAGAGAAATCCTGAGGAAGTGGAAAACTATATTTCAATAAACTTAGAAAAGTAAATCCCAGACATTATTTCCTTGTTCCTGTGCACATTGCCATGTTCACCTTGCCCTTGACAGAAGGCAGTAGATTTACAATTCCTCTTTTGATTGCAATTTATTGAATCATATATAATTTATTGTGTTTTCTACAGGAAGCTGACGTGCTTGATGTATATTGTCTTTCAAGTGTGGTGAATCAATATACACATTCAATTAAACACCCTGAAAATATGCCTATTACATATTAATAGTATTAATTATTATTAGATTTTCTGTTTGAAAACCCCAACCCAAATCTCCCTCCCTCCCCAAATACGACCCAGAAGTTATTACTGTTACTATCTCTTTGCTTTTAATCAGAGGAAACGTGGGCCAAATTAACCAATGCGACTGAACACGCAGATATGTTTCCTGTTTCCTTCCTCCTCATTATCTTACTGCTGCGAGCTCAGGAATATGCCCACCAGAAACAAACAGGTCTCAGCTGCAAGCAGCTGGCTCTGTACTGCTGCAAGAAGTCCCAGGGCTGAGAAACTGTGTGTGAGAGTGGGCCAAGTGCTTCTCTTCTTGCCTTTGCAACATGCTACCATTCTGTGTGTGGGCTTTGATTCATGCGCCCCATTGGAGGCAGTCCTGGGAATTTTTCAGCAGCTTCAGATAATTACAAATGAATAATGCCTTCAGCACAATAACCCTTGTGCTAATTGCTTGGGTATTAAGCTACATTCCTTTTACTTTGCCCTCACACTTACAGATTCTTGCATTAACATTGCAGCGGTGCTGTGAAAGCAGTTAGGGTGAAAAATGGGAAAGTGGAGGCATCTGGCTGCAAGAAACCTGAGTATTTAATGTTTGGTGACATGCGGAGGGCAGTGGGGACACTGATAAACAGATTGCTTGGCTTTTTCCTAGTGAAATGATGCCATTATGTCAATTAATAATGATAACTGGGGGCCTACAGGCAAAAGTTAATTAAAAGTTAATACCCCTTTGCCACCGGGAAGAACAAGGCAAACCGTAGCCCTCAGCTCTGGTCTCCCACCAAGATGTCCATGCATATCAGTACCATGGAACAGCCAAGTCAAGCTCAAATGGGAGGAAAGCCTCTGCTGTGAAGTGAAAACCACACCTTTTAGGTCCCAATTTCAAAGGCAGGAATGGGTTTTAAAGCCTTTTTGATAGCTTTGGCACAGCATTAACTCAGCTGGTGGAGCATGCCCAAAACTCAGGGTGATGGAACCCTTGGGAATTGCTTATGATACATGATCAAGTCTCAATATGAAATTTATGCAGATCATAAAAGAAGTCTAAAATCTATGCTATTTGATGTTATTTCAGAAACATGTCAAGGAGAGCTCTGAACAGAGCAAGAGAATGATTTTGTTTGCACAAGAAGCAAATTAGGATTTCAATCATCAGGAACACGTGGCAGGAGCACAGTATGGAGGGGGTGTCTCAGCAGAGATGGAAAGAAGAAAGGCCTCAAAGTTCATGGACAGAGAGACACTGGGGGAAGCTGCTCTCAGCACAAAGGGAATTCTGAACCTCATGTGTACAGGGATGGTAAGAAGAAACCAAAACTATTCACATTAGCATGCTGCACAAAGATTGGAGGGAAGTGGAAAGGTCAGAAAGAAGAGCAGTTGCTGTAAAGGGTTTTGTTCACAGTGTAGGAAGTGTTCTGAGCCTTCATAGAGGGCCCTACCTGAAAACATGTATTTCCTCCGAAGGGAAGCTCTGTCCCAGTACATCTGGAACTGATTTCTGGGAGAAGCCAGAGGCACTTTGCTGCTCTTCTCTATGAGATGCACCTGTGAGAGGCCCACAAACCACCTCAATAAAAGCGAGCATAGAAAGGGTCATAGGCTTATGCAGTGAGGATCCCATGTGGAGGGCTCAGATGCATGTGGGTTTTACCATAGAATGGTTTGGGTTGGAAAGGACCTTAAGTTCATCCAGTTTCAACCCCCTGCCGTGGGCAGGGATACCTCACACTAAACCATGGCACCCAAGGCTCTGTCCAGCCTGGCCTTGAACACCACCAGGGATGCAGTTTTACCACTTCTTTGGACAACCCATTCCAGTGCCTCAGCACCCTCACATTAAATAACTTCTTCCTTATATCCAATCTAAACTTCCCCTGTTTCGGGTTAAACCCATCACCCCTTGTCCTATCGCTACAGTCCCTGATGAAGAGTCCCTCTCCAGCATGCGCTCTTGATGCCATCCAATTGATGGCATATGCTTGCTCTCACCCCTTGCATAGAGCTCCAGCCCTGGGGACCTCCACAGATTTGCTGCTGGGCATCCCACTTGGCTGGTGTGCAGGAAGCTGCTCGACTGCGTGCCTGAGCCCTGTGTCTCTGCTTGAGAGGATTTCACTGGTGCTGTGTGGCCGAGAGAAGCCACAACTGCTCACCAGCAGCGAAGTCTGTTCAGTGTTACTGGCCACTGTCGTCTGCACCTTACTCAAAACAGAAAGACCTCGCAGGCAGGGAGAGTTTGGATGCCTCATGCTCATCCTCCATGAGTCCAGGCGAGTGCTGTGCTGGGGATGCAGGCAGAACCACTAGAGGTCTCACAGATTCACCTTCTGGAGGACACCAGCTACCAACATCCATTCAAAGTGTCTATCATTTACTACATTCTGGATCAGGCTCTGATTCGCTTCACCCTTACTGCCTGGTCTTGTCTATGCCACCAAAGTCACCTTCCTTCCAAGCTTCTGGAGGCTTTAATTCAGGTATTTCCCTTCCTGCCCTGTGCCATAGCTGCAGCCTAGCCCATGGGTGCTTGAGGTGGGGAGGATGCTCACTAGCTGTGGAGCAGTGGCACCAGAAAGGAGCTTGGAGTGGGGAGCAGCATGTGCCCCAGAGCTTGCACTGCAGAACTGCAAAGGGGAACAAGCTATTAGCAAAATAGATTGAGAAAGGAAAAAGAGAGAGTTTAAACCTTGAACAGATACAGGGAGACTTCATGTCCACGTATGCAGGTAGAGCTGGGCTCAGAAACCAGGACTGACCTCCTGGTCTAATGTAGAGGTGTGCTGAAGTGGTCACATGCAGAGATGGCAGACAGAAGCAGTTTGGCCAGCAGCAATGGAGAATTTCTTTGGTCAGAGAGATTCCCAAGGTTATGTACCCGAAAACGTCCATCACTCCCGCAACCAGAGTGCACAGGTCTGTTCAGGCTGAACCACACTGAAAATGCAGTGAGCAAGACCTAAAAAGGAGAGACAAATTAAAACAACACAGAGATTTGGTACTAGGGCAGACACAGCAGTGATGTGAATGTGGAAAGACCGTGATGCTAAATGACAGCCCCTGAACTGCATTAGTGGGACACAAGCATAATGTCAAGAGGCACTTATAGCAATACTCGTGTCCCCTGCCCCAAGATAAATGCTCATCTTCATCCCAGCCCTCTACTCTGGCCTGCTGTTTACTGTGATTTGCCAGAGACCCTCCCTCTACAGATTACCCTGTACCCTGTTGCCACGCTAACAAATACAAATGGTTTATTGGTTTCATTTTTCTCTGTGCTTCATCTGTGTTCATTCATGCACATGGATGCGTTGCAGTCAGTTTGTAAACCAGCTCTTGGGGTCTTTCAGGGCTCCAGAGTGTGACTCCAGCCTTTGGTTCATGCTGCCTAAAGGGACTTGTGTGGACTTTACAGCGTCCCTTATGTACAACTTCCTGAGAGGAGGATGGAGCCAGGAGGGGCTGGGCTCTGCTCCCAAGGAACAAGGGATGGGACAAGAGGAAACGGCCTCAAGCTGCACCAGGGCAGGTTTAGATGGAGCTGAGGAACAATTCCTGCCCCAGAGGGTGCTCAGGCATTGGAACAGGCTGCCCAGGGCAGGGCTGCAGTCACCATCCCTGCAAGTGTTCACACAGCTTGGAGATGAGGCCTCAGTGCCATGGGGTAGTGGTGGCCTTGGCAGTGCTGGGGAATGGCTGGACTGGATGGTCTTAAAGGTCTTTTCCAACCTGGTTGATTCCATGTAAGCATTAGCTAGCACACACTTGTAGCTGTACATGCGTTGCGTGTGGGTGCAGCTCCTCTGCACACACAAAGCAGAAATGGGCTTTCTCTACCACACACTCCCAGCTCCCAGCGCTATCACCATCACAGACAGCTTTCTAGACAAAAACCTCACCCAAGAGCCTTCACGCACCTCGATTTTTCCTGGGCTGAAAATAAGCCCAGCACATTGGGAGCATTTCCTCCCCTCTCCATGTGATTCTGATTTCACTAATTAAAGTTAATCTGATAAAGGAAGGAACTGCGGAGAAGAACAAGAGCAAAAAGGCAGGCGAGCAGGGGTCACAGAGAGAGGGCTTTGTGACCAGGGAAGCCGCGCTGCTGCGGGGCATGGAGGGAAGCAGCAGATTGAGCTACTTCATCTGTTTGGCTCCCGGCCACCCTGGCTGCCCATCCTGACCTCCCCAGTGCCCTGCAGCGCAACCAACACTTGCAAGGTGGGATCTAATGAAAGGCATCGGGGAGCAGGAGTGCTTCTGCCTCCTGATCGTAGTTATCCAGAACGAAAACACGATGCAGGCTGGCTCCGGGGATGAGTAATGGGTAACAGAGAAGCTTCTCATGGCCAGGGCCATAGTCTGACCAGTGCCTGGAGGGCGGCGCTGACTGGAATTCACTGGCATCTGATGGTGGTTGAAGGGGTTCTGTAGGAAACAAGTGCTTGGATTTCAGGATTAAACATCCCCTCCATGGACAAAATGGTTCCTGGGGTAAGGAGCACAGAGCAGGAGCAGCGCGTGGTGATTAATATCCCACAAGAGAGCTAAGCTGCACTTCATAGCTATGCTGTGCACAGAGCTACTTCTTTCCAGCTCCCCTGGAAACATAGAAAAAGCACTTCAGTACATTACAACCCAGATCAACGTGAAAGACACCTGACAGGGTGTCTCTACCACTCAGAGCAGTCAAAGCCATGACATTCAACCTCATTCCCAAAGAGCATCCCAGAATCATTGTGTCCAGCAGAGTTACAGTGGAGGAGATCTTCAGAGCAAAAGATCTCAAGCCACACACATACATGGAGTATCAGAGACTGATAACTAGAAAGCAAGGAAATAAGGTGAGCTCACCTTACTTCTGTTTTGAAGTCATCTTGATGGTGTTTAGGCACAGGAATTAATTTGGTTGAGCAACAAATCAGCCCAAAGGACCCCAGGGATTAACTTTATCCAGCTTCTGTCTGGGCAGCAACATCCATGGGTAAGGTAGAGGAGAGAGCAGGATGGCCCCTTGCTCCAAACATGCCAGCGGGGATATGTGCAGAAGCACGATCCTCACATGCAGTTAGAGATTTACCACTTCTCTGCTTTCTTTAAGTGGCTGGTACACACATCGATTTCGACAGATCCCCTGCCCTTCCTCGGCAAGGCCCATTCATCATTAACTTGTTTAAATTAAACACAAGCACGGGCAGGACCAGCGAGCAGCCGTCTGTTTTATTAGTGCTTCTACTTCACATGTCAGTCTTAGTCCCTCCTTGCTGGGCTCTGATCTCTCATGACAATTTGATTAACTTTACATTTCCTTTTATTGTTGGGAGAACATTTGGAAAACCTTAACGTATCTGACCGGCTGGGTCTGAGACCGAGATGGTGATTATGTCTGTGCTTAGCATCATCCATCAGGATCAGGCATCTGACACTCAGACCACCTGAAAAACGTGGCATTCCCAGTAAGTTCATGGGGCATAAAACATTTCCTACTTGTGGATAATCACAGGATACCCCTATTTCTCCCAATAGCAAGGCTTTCACTAGGAACTGCTTAAACACCTTTGTTAGAAGGAAACCATTTCCACTTTGTACCCCTCTGCCCACATAAGGCCCTTTCAGCTCCCACCAGCTAGAAACTGGTGTCTGTTTTTTTCCAAGCCCCACAGTCCTGCAATGACATCCTGATGGGAACATACTATGAAGAGGGACTACCAGGACATGACAGATCCCAGGGAAAAGGATGCTCCATTTCACCTTGAAAGAACAGCTCAGAACTTTTTCCCCTTTCCTTGTGCTCAAGCTAATGTAATACAGCCTCGGTCCTCTGGCACATACTCATCTCTACATTTCTGCTGGCCTCTGAGCTTCTGGCTCTTGGCTCAGCCCCAGAGTGTCAAGGCACCAGTGGAAAAGGCTGGAAATTAGACTATTTTTGTCTTTTTGTTTCAAGACCAGGATCAGAAATAGAAGTGCCAAGAACCTCATGGAAAAAAAAAAAAAGCCTGGTTTCCTGTCATTTTTGACAGATTTAGTTACCTGTAGATGTTTCTTTCCCTTGTATCATTTCCACTGATTTGAAGGTGTAGATACTTGGTCACTCTGAACAGCCACGTCACTTACTATTTCTGAAGGCATTAAGGTGACTTGCTCAGGAAATACTTGGCTATCGCAGTTCAGCTTGTGCCATAAAGCCATCCCTCTGTGCCAATCCTGAGCCACTCATTTACCCACTTATTAATAGCAAAAAATCAGTGCTATCATTTTATGGTCATCCAAGAACACGTATGAGAGATAGGCCTCAAGTTCCAATCCGTAACAGAAACTCCTAGAGTCTCAAGAAGTACAAACACTGAGGGTGTTATTCTGTAAGAATGAAGCCTCATGTCAAAATTTAGGCTATCTGGTTTATACAACATCCCAATCCCATTGCTTTTTGTGAGATTTGCTGAACAACACAAGCAATTAACAATGGTACCAGGATCCCCCTGATGGATACATCTAAGAACTTCCTTCTATCCTGCCCTTTTCAGCCCCTCTAGTGAATCCCACTGCAATTCTCAGTTATTTCTGATCCTTCCTTCCTGACCAAAGCTGTTATTTCAGGCTCTGGAAATGAGCAGCCCTGTTGCCACTCAGGCTACAGGAGAAGAGCGGTCAGCACTTCAAAAAATAGAGGTTTTCCATAAAGAAATCTCCTTTCAATCTACACCATCCTCCAAGTAACAACAATCAGTGTTACCTCCCCTTCTCAGGCAAAGTACTGCTTATACCCTCTGAGAAATGTGTAGCTTTTCTAGTATAGAAAAGAGTCTTGAATAAGAGGAGATAGAGAATTCTGAGAAGCTATAAAACAAGAGTTTCTGGAATTTATAATAGAGACTGAGACTCTTTCTAACACTTCTGCAGCCCAAACCCTTGCAATAGAGAGGCCTAGACCCTTAAGAAGTACTTAAAGTTCCTTATACTGTCAATGAGCTACACTTTTAGCCTGCAGCACAGTCCTAAACATCTCTTACAATACCTTCTAGAAGGAAGAAAGCTTCTACACTATTGATACCAGAAGCATAGAGGGGGGGAAAAGCTTACCTGACCCAAGAGAGCATGTAATGAGAGTTGTAACCCAGCCCTGTATCACCAGTTTTCCTTGCACTGAGTGCCCATAAACCACAGGACTAATCCAGCATTTTACCTTTGGTGCTATGGGTGCTGGAAAAACTTCAGCCCCTGCAGTCCCAAGGAAGTGATAAAACCCCATGCACTAGTTACTGCACTCCCTCTTATAGGCACATACAGCAGGTGAGCAATTATCACTTGCAGTCCAGCTTAATGCTTTACAGGGGCCGAGAGCTGGTTCCAATTAGTCTCAGTATTCCATGGAAATTAACTCATTTGTGGCACCTTGGCTTGCAAGTGGGCTGTGAGGAACTGGAACAACTGGAATTGAGTGCAGGTGGCACATCCCCTCTCCTCCTGCTCCTTGGCACTCCTCACACTGGATCCAGAGGGGCTGTATTTCATGTAAGAAAATAGAGATGGAAAAAACAGCTTGATCCATAACCTAAGGGAGGGTTGATCCATCCCCAGAGTCTCGTCTCCAAGGCATTTTTCCAGGCTGGTTCTCTGTGTCCCAAGAAACAGGCTTCCAAGCACTTCCCTTTGGATTATTCAGTAATCTCATGAGGCTCCTCAGCATTTGGCCTATAAAAGCTTCTCTTTATAAAGAACTGTGTCATATTCTATGTGTGTTTTATCTGTGAGCCTGGTTTAATACATGCTTTCAGACATCATGAGCCCGTTTGGAGCCTGTTGTAAAGCCAGCACCATTTCATCAAGCTCACTGCTGTGTCATTGCTGCCAGGCATTTCCTCTTAAAAGGATGTTCTCAAAGTTGATGTTGGGGCTAAAATTAGGATGAAAACTTGCAGGGATCCTTCTGTGATCTCGTTCTACATCTCCAGTGCCTATGAATGGTGTGCATAGCAAAGGGAGTATGATCTCATAGATGAAGACCAAGAGGCTTGTTTTCAACTGTTTTCTGAGCATTGCTACCAAAAGTCCTGCATCTTTTTGAGCACAGCATCTCACCTCTCTGTGCTTCAGTTTTCTACCTGAAGGCTGCAGTAACACCTCCCTGTGAGATTATGGAGAGTACCATATCATAATTGCATTTAACTTAAATGCTTAAGAGATCTCTTGCTTTGATTGTATGAGTTTTGAGCTTGGAAACTCTACTTGTATGAGCTCCTTATAGTACCTCACTCTTGATGAAAAAAGATGAGCTATAAGTTCACTGTGATGGTGTTTCCATCTAAAATTATCTGTAAAACGACTGATTAGGCTTTAGGGATAGTGTGTCTATGTGTTATATTTGGATGAAACATAAATCAAAAAGCCAAACTGAGCTCTCATGTGGAAGGATGCAGTTCTATCAATGATCTGCTTATAAAATGACTGAAGAAGAGACTTTGGGCTGTTTGAGGAAAAAGAAACAGAAGAGAATGAAGTTATAACTGAAAACTCAGATCCAAAATGCACTCCATAAGCCAAATGTTAGGCGCTGAGTGGCAGCTTGCTCAGCCAGGGGAAAGGCACAATGTTGTCCAGTGAGAATCAAAACATGAACTACAGCTTGGGTCATTATTTCCAGCAGCTAATGGAAGCTAATTGCACTGAACTCAAGAGCTTGTTGTGGCAATGAAGACCAGTGCTGCATTGTATTAACACAGTGGGAGACATTGCCTGCCCTGGAGAGATGGCCAGTACATAGGAGATGGTGTAGTTTTCCCCACCTTGGAGACACGTGGCTGTTGAATACCATGCTTAAGGCCATATGTTGGCTTCTTAGTGCAGGTGGGTGCTTTAAATCCCAGGATCTTGCTTCTGTGTCCTGTACTCTGAACATAAGTTTATCACTGTGTGTAAAGGTGATTGTGGGGTCTGAGCTGCAGGCAGACAGATGGAGATTTAACCTGTATTAGGATCATAGAATAGAATAGTTTGTGTTGGAAGGGACCTTAAAGCTCATCAGTTCCAGCCCCCTGCCATGGGCAGGGACACAGTCCACTAGAGCAGGTTGTTCCAAGCCCCTGTGTCCAACCTGGCCTTGAACACTGCCAGGGATGGGGCAGCCACAGCTTCTCTGGGCACCCTGTGCCAGCTCCTCAGCACTCTCACAGGGAAGATTTTTCCCCTAATATCTAACCTAAATCTCCCCTGTTTCAGTTTTGAACCCATCATCCCTTGTCATTCTTATGCTGAAGACACCAGAACTCCAAGTGGGGTTTCCAAACCACTCGGCTTAGTGTCATCAGCAAACCTGCTGAGGGTGCATTTGATCCCACTGTTCATGTCACAAAGACATTGAACAGGATCAGTCCCAACACCAACCCTTGAATTCCCAACAACTCCGACCATCTGATCGCTTCTTTTTCCTGCGTGAGCAACCCGTAGAACCACAGAATATTTCAGGTTGGAAAGGACCTTCAAAGGTCATCTCATCCAATGCCTATAGCTGCAGAGAGTTTAGGTTTTAGCACTTGTAGGAACCAAAATGCCATAGCAGCATCATGAAAGGCGTGTGCCTGTCAGTGCAGCAATCGAATCAGCTGCAGTAATGACAGGCAGGGGCTTTTGAAAAGCCTGGAGAAGCAGGAGAGCCTTGCAGCAGGGAAGAGCTAGACCCTGGGGCTGGCTTTGCACTGGGGAGACGAGCTTCCCAGCACTGGAAATGTCAAACTGCTCTGTAAGGAGAGTCAGGCCTGGGCCCAAACCCAAAATGTCAGAGCAAATCTGAACTGCCCCAGATTTGGATCTGGAATTTGTGGCTTGGGACCATTTCTGGTTTATATTTAACAGGACAGTCGTCTCTTAAATGCTCCATCCCTGGCAGCGTGCAAGGCCAGGTTGGACGGAGTCTTGGGTGACATGGTTTAGTGTGAGGCATCCCTGCCTATGGCAGGGGGTTGGAACTGGATGAGTTTCTGGTCCTTTCCAACCCAAACTATTCTATATGGTTCTTGCCATGGGTAGCTATGTATGACAAGAATGGACATGGAAGCAGCAGAATGAAATCTGTCAGGACCCCATTTTGCAGTAGTCGAAAGAACTCTTCTTTCCTGGATGCAGGGAACAAGCTTTGCCACATCTGGGAGCCAGGGAAAATCGCTGGAAAACTCTGGAGTGAATAATTATACACAAATGTTTACAAAAAATAAATAAGAAGAATGTATGCATAAGTCAAGAATAACAAATGACATGTGGCCAAAACCCTGAATAGCTACTAAGGCCCGGGACTGGGATATGCAATTTTCACATCATTTGCAACCTTGGGCAGCTAGAAAGGGTGGTTAGGAGATATTAGTATATACAAGAGCTGCTCAGTACCTGGTATTTATAGCAAATTTCCAGTGGCCAAGAAAATAGATCACAAAAACCCAGCATGGGAAAGGATGGAAAAAGGCCAGGATACCAGGATAGCCAGTTTTTTTGGGCATTCCTGGCCAAGAGAGAGGACTGGGACAATGTGCATGCCTCCTTCTGGTCTGTGCATGCACAAACCAAGACTCCTGCTTTCATTGCTGTCCCTGGTTTGCTTCATGACCCTTTGTTTCCATTGCAGACACATCTCCCATATCTTCTGTTCCAAGGACTGACAGGTCTCACCTTTGAGCAGATATTGCCTCCTTGCATGCAGTTGCTCCCAACTTACCTATGCATTCCTGAAGGATGGATTCTGTCCTTCAGAGCCTGCAGGACTTTTGCTCTGGTATTTATGCTGTTGTGGCTCTGGGTGCCCTGGCCAGCTTGGGTTCCTTGGGGTTCACACCTACCTACAGGATCACAGCCATCTCCCTAGGGGCTTGCTTCTCTTGTGCAGACCATTGGGCTTGCCTGGTGCTAATACTGAGCAAGAAGGAAGTACAAAACCTGCCTGTGGGCAGGAGGGATCTCATTTCTCCCATTCCCAAAAGAAGAAGTAACAAAGAGGTCAGTTGCCTGGTGCCATCAGCATCATCTTGCTGATGGAATCTTGAAGGAATCTATTGGAGGTTTGCTTTTCCCAGAGCTGAAGCGATGGGTACCCAGCAGTGATCAGAGCAGACTGGAAGCGATACCATTTCTCAAGGAGAAAAGCCATTCTTGCTTGTCTTTCTGAGTTAAAGGGGAGTAGTGACTCTGCAGGCCCCTGTTCATGCTCAGTAGCAGGTAACTG